TTTTTTTTTTTTTTTGCTAGGCAAGCATCTGTTGCTGTAGTTTTAATTGTTTTTTAAACTGATTTAGAGTAGAAATTTTATAAATAATTGATTTCCAAAAATAATTTATTTCAGAAAAGAGACAATTATAATTTACTTTTATATTAGTATATATTGCTAGCTGCTAAATCTTGCCCAAAAGAAGGTTTTGGGATCCAACCACACATATTCAAATCTTTTACAAGATTTTGACATGCAGCATTTTCTGAGCATTTTTTAAATTAATATTTAGAAGGTAAAAGGAGAATTATAATAAAGCAAAAATTTAGCTTTGTTGAACAATACATTTTAAATTATATTATGAAAAACATTTGTTAATATTTTTAGAATAGTTTATGCATTTGATTATCTTGGTGAATGATAGACATGTTTGTCAAGTTTCTGTAATTTGCAGGAATTCAGTGTTCATCAGTCTACTGTTTATACTGTATTTTATTCTTTAAACACAAAGAAGTATTGTGATTATATTTTATAAACCCATATGATGTTATTCATTGATTAAAAATTTTCTTATATTATTTGTGATTATTAAGATTTATTTGTGAAAAAATAATGTTGTTTAACTGTTAATGCAATTGGTTTGGGGTAAAATGTGTAAAAATGCAGACTTATGTGCTGGTCCATTTCAGCAGCTGTACAGAAGTTGTGAATGTCGGATTTTGATTCAAAACTTGTAAATATTTATTTACTGATATTTACCCTTTTTTTCCCATTACAACAGTATTCATGAATTGGTAATCTATTCTCTCTTTCTTTTCACTTAAATGTGTAATTTATTTCCTGTGAACTATCACAGATTTTGATTGCTCTATACTATGAACACTATTAAATGTAAATTTTCTTTTTTTAATCTTTTATGTAAGGTTGATAGTAAATGTCAGAGTTATTTTGATATTTTATGTGTGTATTTTGGGAAAAGTGCTTCAAGCAATAATTTTTTCTATTGAGCAGTTTATATCCATTAAAAATTGTTCCTATATATATATTTCTCTGTCTTCCTGATTATAATTTTAATAATAACTTAAAATATTACATAATATATATTAAAAGAAGTTAACAAGATATTGAAAAAAAAAAAAAAAAAAAAAACACTTCATAAAAAAAGCCTACTATTGAAAATGTTTTAAAATATAAAATGTGTATACAGGTATATCATTTGTTCTTGCCAGTTTAAAAATAAATCTTTGCTGTTAAATAAAATTAAAATACAATTCAAAAAAAAGGAAAAGAAAAAATTTCCAGTTAAAAGCTCTCACAATAGATTTAACAGCTTTTTTTAAGGATAAAATATTCTAAAAATACTATTAGAATATTAAAAATATGCATAATTATTTGAACAATGTGTATGTAATGAAAAAAATGTAGTAAATGTTGTAGGTTGTGGAATGTAGATCCATATTGAAGAGGAAGAATTCTGATTGTGTAGAATCCTAATCCATAATGAATAGAAAACTTGGCAGTTGAGGCAGATTAAATTCCACATTTATTTAAATTCACTGAAATAAATTGTGGCCACAGTTTACTTGGCACTCTTAATCGTGCCTATTTTACAGAGCATTTACATTTTTTAATACTGCTGCAATAGGAAGAGAGTGAGGGAAATAATGTCCAAGCAGCACAGAATTTCAAGCTAAAAGTACACGTTTATCCAATATAGCAGTTTGTTAAAAGAAAGATTTTGGTTTAGGTTAGAAAGGTTTCAGTTCTTGTAGTTTATGTTTTAGTTAACTACGTATCAGTGTTATGCAAGCTCTGGCATAGATTTATCTAAAAATGATTTATTATGTTATTATTATTATTATTATTATTATTATTATTTTGAATAAAGAGAAAATACTCATTATAAATGAGAAATTAAGAGATTATTACTAAATTAAATTATAAAGCTTATTTAAATATTTTTTATGTCACACATATATGTATATAATGGATTTGATTTATTATACTTATGGTATAAAATACCACATGCTTCAGAATGTTTTAAGAAGAGTAAATGAAGAAATAATAATCAGTTATTAACAATATGCTTACATTTTTCTGATCTTTATTTGTAACAAATAGGATTTAATCACTAACTGAAAATAACAATGCTTCTCTAAAGTCATGTCTCAGAAATACTTTTTTAAAATAATTCTAATTAAAATATTTTAGATTTGAATACAAAAAGTTCAAATGTTTTAATTCTTTTCTATACTATTGTTACTCTATATAATGATTTAAAGTTTTCAAATACCATTGAGGACACTCCCTTGGAAGAAAAACAAAAAGTAAATACAGTTGAAGATTGCTACGAGATGTTTATTATAAATTATCCTGTTTGCATTAGTTGTCATTATTAAGGTGGGAATCCATATCTTCTTAGAAGTATGTAAAGGACGTCAAGAAAAGAAACCACACAGATTTAGTGTAGGTTCCTTATAAATAACCATATGTGATTTAAAAGAAAAATTGTTATTACATCAGTCTGAAGGGATGATTGGAGCTGAAGTGAACTTTTATCATTCTTATTGTGTTGTATTCAAACTTCTTTCATCTTCGGTTAAGTAAAACCAAAGTGAGGTTATTATTATTATTACCATTACTTAAGTTTAGCCATCTTGGATGACATGTGTAGTAGTTACTGGGGGCTGACTGTAGCCTAAAGCAAGGATTTAAATTTGACTGCAAAATGTTGGTTGTATAGTTCTTTTCTTTCCTCCATCTTCACAGCTGTAATATCAATGTACCCAGTGGTGTACCCTGGGCAGTGCTGTTAGTGATATGGTGGCTAAATGACTGATGGATTTAGCTATTCCTAATTAATGCTTGAGTAGCAAATGTTAGCTATTTTTAAAAAACGTTTTCTTTAAAAGCAAATTAATTGTTGAAATATTGTAATACATTTCTAATCCACCTTAAATGATTTCATATTATTGACAAATTTTATTTTATTTTTAAAAAACGTTTTCTTTAAAAACAAATTAATTGTTGAAATATTGTAATACATTTCCAATCCAACTTAAATGATTTCATATTATTGACAAATTTTACAAACTGTGAAAAGAAAACATTCTGCCCCCCCCCATCTTTATTTTTGTATAGTTTAATGTTTCGAAAGCTTTTTTCATTTGTTCGTTTCATTGTTTCATTCTCTAGTAGAAGTAGTTTTAGAATTTGTTTCAAATATACAAAAATTAATGAAATGAAGTCATATTTTATTTGGATGTGCTTGTTTTTTTTTGCTGTATAGCAAATTAAATTTTACAGCAATATTTGACATTGTTGGACATTTCATCTTAACTTTCTCAGCATTGAATGATATTTCAATATAATAAGTGTTAAAACTGAAAAAGTTATCTCAAATACGTATGTGATGCAGAATGATATTTAATGTAATTTCAGAAATTGTGGAAAAATTAATTCTAGCTGCCATCCAGTATTCGATCAAAGATTTTTAGGGAAATCCATTTTTGAATGACTCAATAGTTGAACAAATTTATTTTGGGCTTAATAACGGCAGGTGATTAATCTCATTGATGTCAGTTACTGTAATTTCCTTATATAACTGTAATTTTTAATTTAACTGTAATTTCATTATATAATTTCTTTAATGTCATGTATTTCAATTAAATTTTTGCAACCCCAACGTTTTACTTTTCAATCCAGCTGCCATAGTTATTTGATCATAGACATATAAAAATTAATGCATGAAGCAATTATGCAGGTAGAATTTTTTATGTGTGAAAATATTGGTGCTGATATGATATAATAATTGTATGGTAAGCGTGGAGGTGGACAATTGCTGCAGAGCCTATAACATCTTTATTTATTTTGCAGTATTTTCAGCCTAAATTCAGTGTATTTTCCAAGTTTATTTAAAAAATTACTTTTTTAACCCACCCTATATCTTGCATTTTGAAATGATTTGAAGCTTAGTCACTTGACCATATTTTTCAGCTATGCAAATTATTATTGAGATACATCCCTTATCTTATATGTGCTAGACTGCTGCTAGGCTTTTTATCATCCACTATAATTTCTGTAATTACTCAACTCCAAAATTTCACAGCTTTGTATTTCTGCTACTAATGCAATCACGACTGAACCAACTCTGGCACCAGCTTGGAAATATGTATAGGTGCCAAAACAAACAATTAGTCACTAAATGATTACTTCTCAAAAAGACTCTTGGGTCATGCTGTACATGCCCTCAAAGTATGGATTTGGAACTGCCGATGGTAGATGTTAGAGGTAGATGAAGTGAGTTTCGTTCACATACTATCCTATTCACAAAGGAAACAGTAGTATTTTGCATACTCTGCTTTAGGTTCTTTAGTAGTATTATGTATACTCTGCTTTAAGTCCTCCTACAAAGGGAACAATATTTTTAGTGTACTGTACATATACCATTTTTGCATACAAAATTATCATAGCAAAATTTTAAGATCTTCATTAGTTGTTTCACATAGAGAATGTAAGCTTATAGTAATGGAAATTTATTATTAGAATGATGGAATAATACAGATTAATTTATGGTATGATTAGAGCAAAATAAAAATCAAAAGTTCAAATGTAAAAGGCACTTAAAAATATGAAACATGAGTACTTTTTGCATATTAAAGTTCCTTAAAGGTTTGATACTCCTGCAAACTCATAACTTTTGTAATTAATTATGAAATATGCTGGATCATTAGATTTATGAAGATAAAGTGGCAAAAGCAGTTTTTAGAGTAAAATTTTAAACAGGGTTGGCTCTACTACATAGCTGAATGGTTGTGACTGCTGAATTCTGCTGATTTAACTTAGATTTAGCTCCAGGTAAATGAACTGGATATTTGGTTAATTTTCCTTATGTATAATTGTAATACAAGCCATTTTTTTTGCTTAGAGAGGCCTCCAAGAAGTCATACATTTATTTTTAAATTAGCAGATATACATGGCTCCTCTGAAATGCATAAAAATGAATTTTCCTTAAAAAATAATTAAAACATAGGAAGTACATTTTATTGAGTTAATCTGATGTAACAGTACTGTTATAAAAAATGATACAGCAAACAATTCACATGATGCAAATTACAAAATTGGAATTAAATACTCAGTAGAAAAAAAATATGGAAATAGTAGAATTTTATTCTTATAAATATTAAGGAAAATAGTCTGTAAACATAATTTTTTTCAAACCAATTTATTATTTTAATGGATTTTTTTTTTCTTATACAATTTTCCTATTGTTAATACAGTATTCATTAAAAGGCAAAAACTGTGCATAAAAATTGCTTATAAAACTTATAGTAAAAGCATTTTTATGATTTATTTTAGCAATATTAAACAAAAATTTACAGTTTATACAACAAGTCTGAAACTTCTTCAGGATAAAGTTTGAAAAATCTCTTCACTTGAAGATGCATCATTTTCAGATCATTTGCTACTGTGCAACTTTCTCGTATTTCCCAGTTCACATGAATATAAAAATGCTGCATTTGATGCTAATTTATAAACCTTATTTCCGAGAAAGTTTGTACCTGAGAATATACATATATAAAAAACTGTAGGATTGTATAGCAGCGATTTTCAAGTAGCACAGAAAACCGCATTTATGAAATAGTCATTTTCCCCCAAAGTTCTATCTTCATAGAAGGCATATTAATGTCTTTCCTTCAAGAATTTCATCTTGTACTTTGTCTGTAGAAGTTGACACTTCTGCTTGGACAGATAATACGGAGCAAATAAATGTTACAAGTGTACTTCCAATAGCCAAATAAAATGCCAGACCTGTTAAGAAAAAGGCATTTAAAAATTATATAGCGACTTAATAACAAGGAATAATGACAACAAACAAAAAATTGCTTAAGTGCCAGTTGATAATATAGCATATTTTACATTATCACTAAGGAAGATGAACTCAATCATGAAAAATATTCATGAGGAATTCTAATTATGATAAAATTAGGAAGGTTTTAAATTTATTGGAAATTAAGATCAAGAAAAGAAAAAGAGGTATAGCAGTTTCAATTTATAATTGATAAAAAGAATTAAACATGTACAGTACATCTATAGAATTTTATGACTATGTTTGTACAGAATCAAAAGAAAGGAACATCCTTACATCTTGGCCTTTAATATGTTCTGAATTGGTTTAAAATTCTGTAATATACTGGCTTTCTGAATCACTTTAGTGCTATTAAAATAATGACTTTTGAGGTGAAAGAGAAAGTTTGCATGTGCCAAACCTGGTGAATGAGGAAATACTTTAGAATTGTAACTCTTTTCTTCGCTAAAAACTACTTAATTGAATTTCATATTGCTCCTCAATGCAACTCCATATTGTCATGCAGCAAAACTATATTTAATTGAGCTTTCTCAAGCCTTCCTAGAAATCTCTTCAGAAGTCTGTCCATTACGTCTATAAAAAAACATGAATTCCTCACAAACTATTCTTTTCCAGTCAAAATCGTACATGATTTAATTTTCTCCAACCTAAGCAGATGATTGTTATTTTGTCTCAGATCATAAGCAAAGCACCAAATTGTATTTCTGCTCACAATTTGTTAAAAAGAAATCAATATTAATTTATATCATCAAATCATGGCATTCATAAATTCAAGAGTTTTTCTATTTTTCTATATCTCAAGATCTTTCATCCCAGTTCTGTAAGCAGGTGCTATTACTGATGTTAAGCCCATTAGTTATCACTCAAAAAGACGTGACATTTTTTAACAACAGTTATCGAAACTTTTTTCATATTGTTATCTTTGAAACTGCGAAGAAGCTACCATTTCTAGGTTCATCATCTCTACCTTTACATCCATCCATCATGAAGTTGTCTGTATCAATGAAAAATATTGGATCTTATTAATGCCTGATCCTTATTGCAAAATTTCAAATGTCTTTATTACTGTTTCTAATGCTTCGCAACAAAATTTTGTCATTATTCTTAGTTCAGCTTTTGAATATATGATAGCAGATGTTCACAGGATCAGAACAATAAACCACATAGAATTTTTTTTTCCATAAGCAGATAATGTTGTGGCTCGTAAATAGTCATAATAGTAAATGATATCAATAATTCTTTGAAGGAATTGATTAAAAAAATAGTCTACAACTTTGTATGTGCAACAAGTAAATAAAATTGCTGTTCCTATGAGAAAGCTTTGTGATTTGTATTTCTAAAGCAATATTTATTTATCAGATTTTTATGATCAGTATTCCCTTACTTGAGTTGTTATTTCTTTTTTCTGAATGCCTGCAAATTTTATGTGCGTATATAGTCGAACTTGGTTAATTTGAACTCGCTGTGTTCTTAACATATGGGTACTGCCAAGAGGCCCCACACTAAATGTCTATATATTTTGGAAAATTTATATTGTTTTTTTTTAATAGTCTTAGAACCTTGCAAAAGACTGTCAGGGCCCATGATTTTATTAAGATGGCCCTTTTCAGACCCAGAATGGAATGCAAAAACATTTCAGTTATCCAGTTCTGCTAAAATTTAATTATTTTATTAATCTCATTTTCGTGTTACTTCTTTTCTTAAAATTTATTCTTTTTCTGAATGGAGGAAAAAATTTATGGCTGGGGTTCAACCAGAGAGTAGGCAATTCCGTAGTTTCAGGGGGAAATGCAGACAGCATTTTAATTTTTCTGCTAAATATTTAGTTTATGATTATGAAAAAATATGTTTATTGATGTTTTGGTATTTATCAACATTTCCTATACTTGTATTAAATTTATAAATCACAAAAAATAATCTAAATTTAAATAAATATGCATGTATTTTTCTAATTTTGGAAGGGGGCAATGATCATCTATCAATAGTCAAAGGGGTACATGGGGGGAAAGGGCTGAGAACCACATTTATGGATTATGAAGAAGCTGTAATGATATCGTATGGAAAAAGCAGATTAATATTTTAATTTGCATCTTTTTGATTATACAAATTTTTTGAGTTCAAAATAAAAAAATATGATTTTATCATAGCTTTGGGTTTCAACAAAATGCGGCATTTTTTAACATATTCGCAGATACGTACTTGATTGTCGGTTGGTATAGGTTGTTTTGTTACGCAATTAGTTGTTCCCTTGTTTCAATGCCTTTACTTCTTTATTTTTTCATAATATCTATAACAGTCAATTGATCACAGACAAAAACTCTACTACAATATTTAAATAAGATTCTCTTAATTGACATCAGCCTTTTTTAGTGTTGTGAAATCGACATCATTACAGGTTGTACGAGACTGATTTAAGAATAATTTTCGTTTAGAGAACGAGTTCCGATTCCTTGTAGTGTGGTTTATTTTCATTTACTCATCATTTAAGCAGCATCAAGAAGATCAATACCAACTGACCACAATTTATTGTCAATTTATATTAATGTAAAATACATTTGATTTATGTTGCAGGGAACCTATTTTTAAATATGATGCTAAAAAATGTAATTTGACAGATTATAAAAGAATTTTACCTAGGGTACAATCTCCAGGTAAAAATGGTTCAGCTTTATCTCCGCAAATCAAATGAACTCTTCGACTACTCCAGCCTGCTGGGTATAACATGAGTCCAAGAATGAAAAATAAGCCTAAGATAAAGAGAAACAGAACATGAAGTTATTTATTTAAATAATTTTTTATGGCAAGATGAATATGATAGTTTTTTTCATTTTGAAACTTCTTTGCAATTTCTCTTGCTAAGAAATATAAAAGAGCTGATTTGAAACAACTACTAAGAAATAGCTTTTAGCTGTTGAAGTAGTTGTTTCAAATCAGATAGTAAAAAGACTATTTTTCTGCAAATGGTTCCTAGAATTCATTAAAAAAATACTATTAGACACCTTAATTATTACGTGAATACTCACGGATTGAAACATATATGGCTAATATACAATGACAGGCCAAATATCTTTAGAATAGCAGTTAAAAAAAAACTAGATCATTATAAATGTTATTGATGAGCTAGATGTCAATCGGAGTATGGCTCACAGTGACCTTACAAACCAAAAATCTATCCAGTATGACTGCACATCTTGATTTTGAGTTTGGTATAGTAGCTAGTGCCGAAATTTGGATCATGCAGTATCAAAGATACCTGTTTTCTCAGGTTCCCATTTTTAAAGGAAAACTGGCACTTATTCACGTTGCACTTGGGGGGGGGGAGACTATGAAAAACAAATATGCAGCCAGCCTGTTCATATGGAATCGAATTTAGGTTGCATTCTTAGCATGCAGCAATCTTAACCACTCGGCCCTAGTGGGGCCTATTTGGGTGTGAAACTTTTTTTACTTATCCTGAATGGCGACAACCAACAAGTAGGCTACAACTATATTTTAATAGCTTTTAAAAGTAGCAAAATAGTTTTTGAATGGTTAAGAACGTTTCAAATTAATTAAGAAGGATTTTACATGTTTTAATTATCATTATTTCTAAAATCTTGTTTATCTTTTTTCATTTAGGAAAGAATATTTCTGCACTTTAAAATTTTTGTGAAATAATGGCACTTTTTTCCTCCTTTCTCCAGACTGAAAATCAAGTATTACTTTCTTTTGATTTTTAAATTGTCCCCTCTCTCGGTTATAACTGTCAACTGATTTTAATGGGAATAAATTGGAAACGCAAGAAAACAGAGATTTATACACTAATCTATGAAGTTTTACATTCAAATGAAGAATAATGCAATAACTTAATAGTACTAGCAGTTTTTCTTTGGACAGAATAACAGGTTAGGTTAGGTTAGGTTAGGTTAAGTTATTTAATTACGGCAAAGCCTCGAGGGGTATCTGCCTAAGGGGAAGGATGCCTTCGTGGAGGACTTTCTAAGGGAAACTGACTCGTATATACATTACACATGGAAAAAACCACGAAAACGCCCATGCAGCCAGCCCGTTCACAGGATTCAAACCTCAGACTGAACTACCAGTGTTCAGTGACTTTACCGCTCGGCCGCTGGTGGGCCGGACAGAATAACAGAAGCCGGAATGAATACAGTTGCGTAGAAATTCCAATTCAAGAGACAAATATTATTTTAAAATATAATGTAAGCATATCAGAGTTTTGGCATTTTCATAATAATTAAAATTTTCCTATCGATTAATGTGAAGAAGTACAGATATCAGATTTAAATAACCCAGTTACATATTTTGTTTGATAAAAGCTGATACTCATCAGATATGCCATGTTTTTCTCTAATGAAGTTGAAATATACATATTCGTCATACCTTTCGTTAAGCTTTGAGGTAAATCATTAATGGAACGTGTTTTCCATATGTTTGCCTTTTTGACAGTTTCCTTGGCTCATTTTCTACTCTTAAGACAGCCATTCTGTTTTGTAAACAGCAGTCGAGCGGTAAAATCATTGAACACTAATAGTTTTGACCTGTGTTTGATTCCAGGCGAACGGGCTAGTTGCATGGGTGTTTTCATGGTCTTTTTTATGTGTAACGTGTATACGATCCAGTGTCCCTTAGAAGTCCCCCACGAAGGTATTCCTCAACTTAGGCAGATAGCCCTCATGTGCTTTGCCATAATCATAAAAACCAAACCTGTTTTTAAACCGGCATCACAATGTTAGAAATTCGCAGAAACGGAACTATTTCCCCTTTATTTTGCATATTAGCACACGATGCTTGGTTTAAAATTATTATTTCCATAATATAGTTTAATAAATAAAATTATTGGTTCTTAAAAGAGCGATTTTTGTTTCAAAAATAGGACTATGTTTGTTACAATGTATTATTGCAATATAGTATCTTGCAATACATTTAAAAGCTTTCAAATAGATATAACCAAACAGAACATTAAAATTATGACAGAATATTAAATAATTCAGAATTACATATAGTGAATGAAAAGTTATTTTTTTCCAGTCTTTGAATATTTTATATTTGTTTTTATCCAAAAGGCTCTTCGCTATGATTTATATAATACTTTCTTCGTATACAAATATCTTGACAATAAAGAAATTTACATGCATTGAAGTAAAATTTGGAGTTAAAATATTTTCCATTAGTTTATTTATTTATTTATTTTGTTGCTGCACACTGATCGAGTGAGTAAAAAGAACGAATTCTGCTAGGCCGACACCACATTGCGCAATCCATGCGCCACTTTACATTTGTATTTAGTATGTTTTGTGGTTTGAAGCTGTTCGATTGTTCAAATTCTACTTACAGTAAATTTTGAACTCCTTCAATATGGTTTCACGTGAAAATAAAGATATATATGCAGAGGATTTGATGGTCATTGAAGAGCCACAACCTGGTACATCGAACTCGGCACCACGGACTCCACGATATAAAATTGATCCGCCTGGACGTCTTTCGCCAGACATCAAAAAACACAAATTAATTCGGATAAAAAATAAAGGCAAAAAGCTATATGCCCAACGAAACTGCGTAGTTTGTGTGGCACATAAAAAAAGAAAGTTGACTTGCTTCAAATGCGAGTTTTGCAATGCACCTCTTCACCGTGGTGTGTGTTATCAACATTATCACACTCATAAAAAATACTAGATTCTTCTCATAAATATGTACTTTAAAACATTTTTTGTAATTAGTGTTTAGTTCTTTTTTAATATTTCTTGCAGTTTTAAGAGTTTAAATAAACTTTTTTAAGTCTACATTTTTTTATGATTTCACAAAATATCGCCCGCTCTAAAATGCAAAACGAGGCGGTCGCCGCGTTACCTAGCATACTTTCAAGATTCCCCCCGCCTTTAATGTGTTAATTATGGCAAATCACTCGTGGGCTATTTGCCTAAGGCAAGGAATGCCTTCATGGAGAACTTTTTAAGGGAACCTGTCTTGTATACACGTTACACATGACGAAAACGGCAAAAACGCCTATGCAGCCAGTGTGTCATATTGTCGAGATCATATTGCCTTTTTTTAATGTTATTACAATCAATAGACGCCTTCATAACCGATCCTGCTTTAATGCGCCTCCTTTTATAATGACCACATTTTCAACATGAGTTCCCCCCCCCCCCCGTGCTTGAATAAAACTTTTACGACTTTTCGAAAGTGCATTTTTTGCATTCAAAGATAATACATTATTTCGCCCAGAAAGTAAAATGACTGAGAAAACTGCTAATTATAATTTCTAAATCACTCAAACTCATCGCGTTAGTTGGTGGTTGTTATCTATGTCTTTTGGATAGTGTGCCTATGTCCATACTTTTTTTTTTTTTTTTTCCAGTTTGCATTAATTTGAATTACTGATTATTTTAGCTTCATTAATGGCAAATATATACACCATTTTAATCTGGTATATAGTAACTTACAAATGTTAATTAATTTTTTATTATTATTATTAATCAGCTATTTCTTCATATGGTCCAAAAACCCATTTTATACGGCTTGAAGGTTAGTCAGGATTTTGCTGTATCTCAAATCATAATTTGTAGTTTTGATAATTTGACTTTCGGTATTAATTTTAAATGAAATAAAAAAGTATGACTTCAGTACATTTCATCAAGATACATACAACGTAATCTTCCTTTAAAAGCTCGTTTTATGGAATAATATATTAGTTTGAGAAAGATGAAATTCTCTTTCAGTGAGATAAGATTGCTTTCACAGCAATCGCACTTCCAAACAGTGTTACAATGGATTTAAAGAATTAGGCTTATAAGATGTTCTAACAGATAGATAATACAGCAGGTGTTATAATATCACTCAAGAGTCCTCCAAACTGTCCTCAGCTTTCATTAAGTTTTATTCATCCTAGGACTTCAATTAGAACAATATGCAGTGTAATATATTATTCGAGAAATTTCTCTTGACCCACAGTTCATCATTCAATATAACTGAGCGAAACTAATTGAAAATGCATGGACATTAATATTAAAATAATTTATGTAATTACACTTCAAGGCTTTCAGAGTCATTTTCATAACTGAATGTAATGTTGCAGTGACTTTTGAGTTTATGCAGGATCCGTGGCGTAGCTAGGGAGGGACATCTGCTTCCGGGCACAGCATCCAGGGGTCGCTGAAAACCATAGCCACATCTCTGTGTTGAGTATGTATTCTTACGTTTTGCATATTCTGTTGCATCATCACGAATTTAATCGGCTTTGTTCTTTTTTTTTTTTTTTTTTTTTTTTTTTTTTTTTGGAAGCATATATTATTTCTTCTGACTAAATTTCTGAATAGTTTTCGATTGAACGAAGATTTTTAGTCATATGCTTTTGTCAACTTTCTCAAAATATTTTAAGAAAATTCTTCATTGAATACTTTCAGTAAAATAGTTATTAATTCATGTTTTTTGTCAGTTTAGGTTGTAAGGTTTATCCTAAGTTTTTAACAGTTAGCTTTTTAGTTAGAGCTACTTTCTTATCACTCCTAATTTCAGCTTACAATTTTCTACCAGAATGTGGTTTTTAGAATCGCGTTTAATGTAAATGAGTAAGAGCGGTATTTAAGTCGAAGTTCCACTGACTTCATTAGAAAGCCAGAGATTCTGACTAGCGCGCGTTTGCCTTGTGGCTACACTCTCTCTAAGCTATTAGTACGCTAGACCATATTTCAGACCCTTGATAGCTTCGCCGTTTAGTTAGCGTTTAAGGAGCCAACTCCAGTAGAATTTTGATAGCTTCGGCTAAATCTTTTTAGTTAGCATTAGTTAAGTTTTATTTGTTATTATTTGAGTTCAAGCCCAAGTTCAGGCTTTGCTGTACACTATGAGAAAGGAGCCAACTTTACCCGTTCACGAGGTTCCTACACATTTAGCTGTTAGAGAAAAGGTTGGAACCCCACAAGGTGCTTGCGTATTAGTCGTTGCCGATACATCGTCAAGAATACCACTCATTACTTTGATTCTTGTGAGCGTTCGGCAATCGTAGTTCCGAATTGAAATCATTGGGGAAACAATAATGAAACAAAAGTTCTAAAATGACAAGATTTTAAAATTTTTTCCTTTCTTTCTTTCCCCTTCCTTTTTTTAATGTTTTTAATTAGAAAAAGGATGAGAATGGCTTCTTTTTTGTTAATTTCAATTGACACCAATTATTAAAGTAAGGGTATATCTGCATTGCATCGTTGGGGGGAGGGTTATGGTTTCCCACGAAATGTTCTCGTAACAACATTTATTCGTCTTGAGTTAATTTTTACTACGTTCTGCATCGTGCATTTACTGGATTTCTCAGAAATGAAGCAGAAGACTGAAGGGTCATTATGTGTCGACTTATGGTGTTTTGCTAAAAATGGCGACTGTTTCAATTTTCATGCAATGGAACTGTAAATACTGGATAATATACGAAAAAAATGTTGAAGATTGAAGATTGATTCAAGAGAAGTACTTGCCTTTGTATTTAGCAGAGTTCGTGTAGAGGTCGAGAACAAACTACGAAGAATAATAATCTAGTGCGACTGCCTAGCAATACACGTCGAAAATTGACAAACTTGTTTTTATGGATCTATTGAATTTGGTACCATAGTCATCACCAAAAGACTGTTGGCGGCGTCCGACTAACACAGAAATACTTTGTCTGCCGAAGAAAAGCTGCTTTTTCTCTCTCTTCAAATACTTCTCGAACATAATATAATGAAACCTAAAATGCTGAGTTTCCATAGCAAAGCTAAATCTAAGACCTCGACCAAAATTAATGTAGTAGAATTATTTCATTATTTGCAGTTAGTTCATTACAATGTTGTCAATTGACTTCCATTCCATTACCGTTTTATAGATGATTAGAGATGCAAACCAAATTAGAAAAGTAATTAAAGCTCTTACCTGCGATAGCTTGTATCGTCCCTGAAATGGTGAAGATGCTCTTCTTCATGATGCTTCTAAAGCAGCAGCCCAGGATGGATGTTAGAAGGGTAAACATCATGAGAGACAATCCACAACCAAAGAATATGAGAGATGCTTTCCAGAAATTTGGGAACTGATCTGAAGGCATGCCGAAACTCGTAACAAATGGTGCACAGTTATCAGTATATATGCGGTTGATTTCATGAATTTTGATGCATCGGTTGTAAATACCTGCAAAGAAAATATTTGTATTCATATATTTATATATATGCGACACGAAAAGTATCTTTTCAATTATTCTTATTCCGTTTTTTCAATTTAAAAATTATATAAAGAAAAGTGTATTTATCCTGCAGATTTGAAGAAATACCAGATAAAAAAAATTCTGACAAGACAGTGTTGGACAGAAGGTTGTAAGGTATATCCTAATTTTATAACAGTTATTTTAAGTTTATGAACCTTTCCTAGCTCTTCTAGCTGCAACTTACAATTCCTTACTAGAATGAGTTTTTAGAATCGTTTTTAATGCAAATGAGATGTAGAACGTGTTTAAGTCAAAGTTCCACTGACTTCGACTGACCACTGACGTCGCGTTTGCATTTTGGTTACATCTCTCTAACTGTTACTATGCTCGACCGTATTACGTGCCTTTCGATGGCTTTGCTAGCTAATTTAATATCACGGGCCAACTAGGTTAGAACTGTGTTAGCTTCGGCTAAATCTCTTTAGTTAGTCATTAATTAGTTCCTATTTCTTACATTTTAAGTGAAGACTTTGTTGTACGCCCTAAGTAAGGCCCGACTGTATTTCTTTATTTGGAGCAAATAAATGAACCCTTCTTGAGTTTACGTCTCTGTTCTTGGACTTAAGCGATTATTCGCTTAGCTGTTCACTAGTTCCTCAACACTTAGTTTAGTATAATAAAAGGGAGGAACACTACAAGGTAAAGTCGTCATTTAAGCAGATCTTTGCAAAACATGTAACGAAAACGTTTTAAATTGCCAGTTGGTCGAAATGGCACCATTAACTTTTAAAATGTGATAACATTACACCAGAAAAACTAATGAAAAATTTATTAATAATTAGTTTTGTAAGGATGTAACAGAACTATTTTATTCAACGCCAGGGGGAGGATGTAACAGAACTATTTGAGTGTAACTGAACTATTTTATTCAACGCCATGAACTCATGAACTGTAACCGAACTATTTTATTTAAACGCGATCTCGTGGCGATATGAAAAACGTCAGTCGACCTCCAGCCGCCATGATGATGGTTTACTAGGTTATTCAAATGTTTGATGTTCCATTTGGTATATGTTTCATTTTTATGTATATTTTTTTATTTGTAACCGTTCCTGTGTGCTCCGTTAATGAATCCTTTTAAAGCTAGCCGGCATTAGTGTCTATTGAGGAACGGCTACATCACAAGAAAAAATTAGTCATTCAAAGGAAAACATTACACAAATAAATGTTTCGAAAATCAAAATCAACCATAATTGCAAATTTTTTAGCTATACGAATTTTCCAACATTCCCCTTCCCCCAGTATTCAGCCAAGCGAACGAGCTGGCTGCCTAGTTGGTTTTTTTCCATGTGCAACGTTGAAAACAAGGGAGTTTCCCTTAGAAAATCCTCCGCTAAAACATTCCTCCCCTTTGACTGATGGCCCTCGTGTGTGTTTTGCCATAGTAAAATATCCTAACCTAATCTTTTCTAATACTCTACACTAATTGTACTACAAGAACAACTTAGCTTAATGAAATCTTTGTCATTTATCGATGAAGAATCTAATGCAAGTTAAATATCAGTCGGCTAAATTCAAAATAGCAAAAAAATACGAATAGGCACTAGCTTAAAAGAAATGGCCGCCAAGGTTTGATTTTTTTCTTTTTTGTTTAATCTGAATAATACTAATTCATAATTTGCATGGCTAGATTTTAACGTAAGTGTAATTATAATCTGTTGAGGGTGAAATCTGGCCAGAAGACGATCACAGCGTAATCAAAAAAGATAGCGAAATAGAAGTTAAATTAGAAGAAAAAGAGCTGCGATTTTTCTAGTCTATAAGTTTCACTAGTCTATAAGCTTTGCACTTTGCACTCACGATTTGTGTAATGAACACATCAACAATGTCACTGTGTTGAGACATTAGGTATTTTTTGGAAGTAGGCAAGATGAAAAATGAGCAATCGGGAATCGAACCACGCGCCTCTGGAATACCGGCCCAGCGTGCAGAACCACTACACCACAAAGGCACGCTAGGAAGGGCGGAAGAAATACCTTATATACTCCCCCTTTTAAAGGGCGACTGGTGTTTTTAGGCCACTCAATGGCCAAATCCTGGGTGAGGAAAATCATCATCCAACACCCTTTTAGTTTGGGCGCCAATGTAAAGACATTAGGATTTTTTTTTAGGAGCAGGAGAAAAGAAAAATAGCAACGCCTTCGCCGGGAATCGAACCACGGACCTCTGAAATACCGCCTCAGTGTGGTGACCACTACACCACGAAGGTACGCTAGGAAGGCGGGAGAAATACCTTATAACTGTTTCAAAAAATGTCACTCCTTTTCTTTTTCAAAAGGAGCGGCGGTTTAAATAAGGAAGATATTATAATGAGACAAGTTTTGGTAGAGTGATTTTTCTTTAGAGATTTGTTATATACAACTGTAGAACATACAGAAAAAAATTTATACTTAACAGTTCATTAAGGAATTTTGTAAAGATTGCCAGAGTTCTTTTCATGCAGGCAAGTCGCTCTATTTTACGTCAGTCAAAGGAATCACGTTGTTTTAAGAATATAAACAGTACTTAACCTTGCATATACTTCTACAATAAGAAAGCTTGTATCAAAGCTCATCATTCCGAAAATGGCTTCTTCGTTTTAATGGTCTGATGGCTTAGAATAGGCATATTATGACAGTGGACAGGTGTACAGCCCATAACATACATGATCTGAATTAACCAATGTAAAGATTCATTTTTAGCTCTCAGTGCAACAAGTCGTCTTCATCGTTTTTGGTTCAAGGCATTACGGCTCTTACGAAGAAGTTTTATCGCAAGCGACTTGTGAGAACTGCAACTTGCGCGGCCGAAAAGGAGATAGAAATCCTAACTCGCGTCCTGGAAATCTAGGTCATCACAAACATACCGAACTGTTTTAGCAAAGCCTGAGGACATAAGACGCTAATCCTCTTGACGAGTTAGATGGTGACAACTATAGAACTTCACCTGACGAATGGAATAGTCTACAGGACGCTGCGAACCCTGGTATTATTTTCTAGTTTGTGAGTGTGATCCAACCTTGCTTTATTTTTAGTGTTTGAACTTTAAGTTTTGATAGAATATAATCGAACTATTTACACAAGAGAGAAATGGAAAAACCGGTCTTACAGCAACTTGTCTTTTGTCTTTTTACAAGAATTTGTAAAAATTAATAGCAGAACTTATTAATAGGTATTAAAAACAAATATTCCTTTTGTTTTTATTTAAATTAAATACAGTATATACTTACCTAAGGATGGTGAGTAGAGATCTCTTTCTGACATCTCGCCTCTGGTTTTGAGGCCCGGCCTCCTCGGAGCTCCTATCAGCCACGAAGGAGTAACCACTGCAGCCAACATAGCGAGGGTCGTTGCGATCGTTAGCAACGTCCATAACAGCGTCCGTGACGTTACTATCACATAACACATCTCTCTTAAGAAACTGAAAAACACAATGTATATACAACTGAATCAGTATGCAAGATTGTATTTATATTCGAGTCAGAATCATGAGACTATTTTATCTTAACATTAAGACTGCTAAATTAATTAAAAGCATAGGGCTACTATGAATCGGAAAGAACTGCATGAAAGTAAATGGTTTCAGTTGTTCGAAAGATAAAGCACTTATCTGAAAATCTAGGAATTCCATATTCGAGTACATTTACCGCTTCTTGAGCAGTTTTAAAATTTATGTCTTATAGCAGGACCTGATACGGGCAGACAGGTCATTTACCCTGAGCCTCCACTTTCAGGGAGCTTTCAAATCCTCCTGCAGTATTAAAAATATGTCAAATTTTATATATGTTTTTAATCCTAACTATTTATAAGATTCTCTCTCTCTCTCTCTTTTTTTTTTTTTTTTTTTTTTCCGAATTTTCAGTTTAAGGCAGATAATTTTTTTGCGCTTTTTCTTTTTGAATTAACTTAATTTTCCACAAAAAAATAATACCTTGGTTAAAATGTTTAAACTTATATAAAATAAACTAAAATCGAAAAAAAATTGTTGTTGTTGTTTTGTTTAAATAACTGAAAAAAAAAATGAATTACATTTACACTCATGTCCATAAATTAAGGATAATGCAAAATCAGGCAAAGGAAGAGTTAGAAGCAAAACAAATTTGACTTATTTGTAAAGCTTATTTATTAAACAAAAGGTAAAGAGCAAAAAAAAAATGCTATATGTTTGATATTATTAAAAAAATTAGCGATTTTTTTCTCCCTGGAGCAAAATTACAAAAAAAAAAAAAAAAAAAAAAAAAAAAACTATTTACAAAAAACCAATATTACATGGTTGGTATGATTGTTAATACATTGTATGTCTCCCAGACGATGCAATACAGTCCGTACAACGCCTAGGCATGCTGAGTATCGAATTATCGATCTGATCTTGGGGGATATTACACACCACTCAAAAAGCAATGCTCTCCGAAGTTCCGGTAGACATGTAGGAGGAGGTAGACGGGCTGCAACTCGTCGGTCAAGCGTGTTCCACACGTGCTCTACTGGATTCAAGTCCGGTGAGAGTGTTGGCCAGTCCATACGGGTGATATCCTCCGATTGAAGGCATTCGCTTACGATGTTTGCACGGTGAGGACGGGCGTTGTCATCCATAAACACAAATTGTGCGCCCATGGCGCCCCGAAAACAAACGTACATGTTGTTCCAGAATGACGTCTCCCGATAGATTTTGGCTTGTCATGGTTCCAATTTGAACATGCAGGTCAGTTCTGGAACCCAGAATAATTCCACCCCAAACGAGCACTCCTGCACCACCGTAACGGTGTCGTTCAATGATGTTTTCTTGGTGGTAACGGGTACCTGGAGCTCTCCATATGAAAGTCCGGCGAGAATCAGACTGCAAGCTAAACCTGGACTCGTCGGAAAACATCACACAAGCCCACTGTTGCGGTGTCCACAATGCATGCTCTCTACTCCAGGCTAACCGCAGGCGACAGTGAGTTGCAGTAAGTGGAACGCATCTGACAGGTCTACGAGCATATAGACCAATCTACCCTAAGCGTCTGTACACGGTCTGCCTTGAAATTGTCGTACCAGTGGCTGAAGAGAGCTGACGAGACAGGTCTGAGGCTGTGCTCCGCCTGTTTCTTTTGGCAGTAACTGCCAAATACCGGTCCTCATTCGGCGTTGTAACTCTGGGGCGACCTGTGCTGTAACGTCTACTCACATTACCGTCATCTTGGAATCGTTGCCAAAGCCAGGAGATGACACTCTGGGCAATTCCAAGTTCGTCTGATACTTCCAGTTGGGTACGCCCACATTCCAGACGGCCGATAATTCTACCACGTAAAAAATCATCCAAATGCGTCCTTTGTGTCATAACTATTCGGTTATTGCACTGAAATGCTTATAAAGCGCCTGCGAACAATTTTACTTCTTTGCCTGTATTCCTGATATATCACTCTCTTACACTCTCGTCATTGTGACGTACCATCGGTCATCTGGTTACTTCCTGAAATTTGTATATGATTCTTGAAGATGTGTGTAGTGATTTTACAGGTGATATATTTATTTTAGAGTTCGATTTCCGCGTGACTCCGAATTATCCTTAATTTATGGACATGAGTGTATTTCCCGACGAATAGAGAGTATATTAGGCGGGTCTTGTCTGAAAATAGAGAGTATATTAGGCGGGTCTTGTCTGAAAAAAGTCAAGTTTTTTTTTTACTGCGGGACAGCGGAAGAATTATTATCATACAACATCAAAATACACAGATCATAAAAATATCAGAGAGCTAAAAAATGAATTTAATATGAATATGTGGTATTAGAAGCTTTTGTAGTTATTTCAAAACTGATGAATATTTTTATAAGATTTACGAATGAGGTACCTAATAAATCACTCAAACTGGTTTGTACTATAAATTACATTATTTAGAGATTTTATTGACATGATTTATCGACCATTTTTCTTTGCAAATAATTTCACTGGAGCCTGAAATTACATTGGAAAACTCATATTTTTAAAGATCACTGTAAAGATTAATCGGTACCTAGATACACAATATAATGCATTAGAAACCTTTTCTGTTAACTAGAACTATGATGCAAATGTTAACAAAAATTACCCGTTAAATATAAATCACCTGACTACAACACATCAATACAAAAGTTCTCTATATATATATGCAACAATATATGCAATAAAAAAGTAATTACATGAAATAAATAAACAGAAAATCAAATATACCGAGATACATAATGTATGGAATTAGAAGCTTTTTTTATTAACTATGGTAATGCTGCAAATGTTTATGATTTATCAGTTGGATATAGTATAAATTAAATATATTTAAAATTATATCAATTAGAATATAATTAAAAACAAATGAATATTTAAAATTATTAAAATGCACCTTTATTCCTTTCAAATCGCTGTTTGTTAAGGAGCAAATCACATAACCCTACAAACAATCCATAGAGCCATGTAGATATCAATTCGTGTAATGGCAGTACTTAAGAAGTTGTATGGATGATAAATGTATAATAATGTCTAAAAATTTTGAAAAAATCTGCTAAAGAACATTTCTAATAACAAAATATGGTGTCTGGTACAATATTAAATAATTTTTAAAAAATTAATGAGAAGACGAGAAAAAAACGTAAATGATAGCTAAATAAGATAAATGTTACACCAGTGTTGGTGTAAAATTTAGACCCGTTTAACGAATTGAATTTTTTTTTCTAATAAATTAAAAATTTAATTTTAAAATATGTAAATTTAAAATAAGGAAAATCGTTATACTGGATAAGAAGATCTGCTAAAATCTACCTAAATAGGAAGACTGATATAAACTACTGTTATGAATTAATGCTGCCATGCATAATGTGGCACTTCTGGCATCTTGTCTTCATAATACATTTTGTTTTCTGTGCAGTAAGAAATGCAATAACGATGATGTTAAGCTTCATAACTCTGAATATGTATGTCTAACAATCTTGTGCTATATTGATTATGTAAATAAAATGTACGTATGTGTTTGTGAACGTCACCAACTTCTAAATTAAATAGATTAAGGGAACTTCGTTCAAAAAAGAATTCAGAATCGTTATCATTGCGCTGTGAATTCATTTCAGTATCTCCTCTCATACCCAATAATTGGCAAATTTTATATATGTCAAAATTTATATATAATATATATATATGTTAATGATTTCAAATGCGTAGATGAAAGCAGTGGACCTCCCAACAGCTTACGATACTGCGTAGATGACCGAGAAGACCGTAGTGGCTTGAAGGTGGCAGAGTGGAAAGCATGATGACGCAATTTAGCACAAAATATTTTGAAAAAATCACAATCTTTATTTTTTCCACGCATATCAAATCATCCTTTTTTTCAGACAAGATGTTTCCTAATTATATTTGAATACATAACTTGCATTTTGAATTAGAACGTCATCTTAAGTAAGCAGCAGCATGGTTTAAAAGCGTCTTGCTAGCAGGAGAGCTATGCGGAAAAAAGGGAAAGGTTATAGTATTTTCATAGGAAGAAGGCTGGGAATGGGAAAGTTTCAGTTCACAGTTTTGGTTTAGAATTAATTTGATTGGACAAGAGGTATCTGCATTAAAACGTTACGTAAGATAGAAAAGTCTGGAACCTGTGAGAAGAGATGAATTTAGGGGCAGATTACCAAATTTAGATTGTTAATTTTGAGGTCGTCAATTATTTTTTTGAAACAGCTATCATATTTTGCTATATCTTACACACACACACACACACACACACACATATATATATATATATACAATAAAGCAAAGTTAGCAATACTGAGGCATAGACTGTTGATCCATATTGAAAAGGAAATTTAGCAGCCGAAGCAAAGTAAATATTCATCTTTATTTCAATTGACATTTGCGGAGTCAACTCAGTTGGCACTGTAATCGTGCCTATTCAAGAATATTTACATTTTTAATGCTGTTGCGATAGGAAGAGAGCATTAAGGCAGCGTCTTAGCGAGAGCAGAGGTAAAAGCAAAGGTTATACAGTAGGGCAACGCATTAACAGAAAGTTTCGTTTGATGTTGTTGTCTTATCCATGTATTTCATGGAAGTATAGTTGCCACAGCCTCAAGAGGTTGGACTTCTATTCCCACCCAATTTTGAGGGAGAGCACCTCGGGGGGGGGCGGAAAGCTTCGATTTACGTTCCGAATTAGCTACTCCATCAGCGTTATTAAGTCCTATGTATGGATTGATCTAGAAATGACGCAGTCCAGAAATAGTTTTTACTATTTTTAGAAAAGAGAGGGGAATACCCAAATTAAAAATAAAGGAATTAAGGGGCTATTTTAATTTAAATTATAATTTTGATCTACATATTTTTTATCTGACATATTTATACATCATACAGAAGCTAAAATCTACAAAGTTCTTGTGGGAAAGTTTGCAATTTTGAAAAACATTAATAAATTTCATTCATGA